ATAATAATAATAATAATAATAATAATAATAATAATAATAATAATAATAATAATAATAATAATAATAATAATAATAAAGTTGGAAGGGATCTTGGAGGTCATCTAGTCCAACCCCCTGCTCAGGCAGGAAACCCTATACCATTTTGGACAAATGGCTGTCCAGTCTCTTCTTAAAAACTTCCAGTGTTGGAGCATTCACAGCTTCTGGAGGCAGATTGTTCCACTGATTAATTGTTCTAACTGTCAGGAAATTTCTTAGTTCTAGGTTTCATCTCTCTTTGATTATTTTCCATCCGTTGCTTTTTGTCCTGCCTTCAGGTGCTTTGGAGAATAGCTTGACTCCCTCTTCTTTGTGGCAATCCCTGAAATATTGGAACACTTCTATCATGTCCCCCCTCGTCCTTCTCTTCATTAGACTACACATATCAATTCCAGCAACCATTCCTTATATGTTTAAGCCTCCAGTCCCCTAATCATCTTTGTTGCTCTTCTCTGCGCTCTTTCTAGAGTCTCAACATCTTTTTTACATCGTGGTGACCACAACTGGATGCAGTATTCCAAGTATGGCCTTAAACAAGGCATTGTAAAGTGGTATTAACACTTCACGTGGTCTTAATTCTATCCCATGGTTCATACTTAGGATCATTGCTGTGTCCCAAGGTCATGTGATCCCCTTTTGCAACCTTTGGACAAGCAGAGGCAATGGGGAAGCCAGATTCCCTTAACAGCTGGGCTACCAACTTACCAAGCACAACGAATCACTGAAGAACCGTGGCAAGAAAGGTCAAAACATGGGGCAAAAACTCACTTAACAAACGTTTCACTTAGCAACAGAAATTTTGGGCTCCGTTGCGGTCGTAAGTGGAGGACCAACTCTACCCCTAACCGTCATCTGGTCATTAACACTCTGAGAGTCATTGAGGCCACTTTGGGGGGGGGGGTTATCTGCATCCTCAAAGTCATGTGAATCAGAGTGTAAATTGGGGTGAAACTTCTTGGAAGAGTGTTCTCAAAGGACCGCATTCTGCTGAACTGAAGAAGATTCTTGGTTGAGAAGCAAAACCTTTTCAAAGAGGAAAAAAACACCTAAGAAAGTCCAGTGGCCTTTTGGAAAAAGCACCTCTGGGATTGCTTTCTATCATTGTGATAATTGTTACATAACCTTGTTTTATTTGATTGTTGTACACTGCCCAACTTGCGAAATGGGTGGCCACACACATTTGTTAAATTTAAATTTATCAATCTAGATTGGCAACCTTGGCTCTTTTATGACTCCTGGACTTCAACTCACAGAATTCCTGAATCATAAAAGAGCCAAGGTTGCCTACCCCTGACCTAGAACAAAGGAGAAATTTCCTGATAGTGAGAACAATTAATCAGTGCAACGACTTGCCTGTAGAAGCTGTGGATGCGCCAACATTGGAACTTTTTGAGAAGAGATTGGACAACCCTTTGTCTGAAATGGGATAGGGTCTCCTGCTTGAGCAGAGGGTTGGACTAGAAGAACTCCAAGGTCCCCTCTAACTCTGATGTTCTATTCTGTTATAAATAAATAAATATATTTGATGGAGCTACAGCAGGAAATAAAGGGGACATAAGTATATCAATAACTTACAAACATAAATTAAACCTTCCACTTAAACTAACATGACAGCGGGGGCAGTAACATTAATCACCACATTATAGGAAAAGACTAGCAAAATATTCAATTGCCCCATTGCAAATATTAGGTTATACACTGCCTGTCCTGGGGCTGAAAGAAGCTGAAAGAAGCTCTTAAGGTTGATTCTCCAAACAGTCTGAAAAGAAGTCCCAAGGTGGTCAAGATTTTGGATGCTCTTTAGCTGTTCCCGCTCTCCTTTCTTTGATGTCCTGCAGAGGTAGAACGGGGGTGGAGGGAAATCAGAGCTGGAAGACACCTCCAGATACCACCCAATACCCCTTTTGTAACAGGGAAGGCAAATTTCAATTTTTCAATGAAAATAGGCCTGGAGTCCAAGTAGTAATGCTTCCCAAGGTGCGCCACAGGAGAGCGGGCTAGTTCCACATCAGAAAGAAAGATGAGTGGCTTTCCTGCAACAGCATCTGAGGCTCTCTCCTTCCACCAAAGCTGCCTCACAAACCGGACTCTCAAAGTAGAAAGTACAGTACAGGTGGGATTCTGACTATCTGCGTGAAGCACAGGCTCAACTTCCCACCACAGTGGTACCTATTTATCTACTCACATAGAACATGTTTTTAAATTACTAGGTGGACAGAAGCTAAGGTGAGTGATGGGTGTTTACCCTGCCACACAGTACTAGAACCGCAGGAGCAAAGACCATCTCCAACATTAAGCCACTGAGCCACCATGCCTCTACTCCCCAAATATAGAAAGTTGGAGTGTGGATAGAATTCATATGGGATTTGTGTAGGGTTTGTCCCCTGGATTCCTTGGGGCTATATAATGTGATGCTGGGAAGTCTTATGAATATGGTTTTGGTCACTGAAATTGGGAGGCAGCACACAAATTGAAGGAATAAATAAAATCATATGAGATTCACCTTGTGTAAAACCAGGGTGATCCCCACGTATCTTCAGAACCTTCTCCAGGTGTTCATTGGCCATGACTCAACCCTGAAGTTTGAATTTTAATATTTTAATCTTAAATAATAGCCTATTCAGCCAGCTGCTATGCAAAACCTGCTTCCTGCATCACAATATTTATTTATAGTGTGTATGGTTTTATGTCTATTTGTCTGCCAGCTCCCAGAGTCGCACTATGAGGGAGGTGGATGGTTTTGTAAATAGCATATAATTAATTAAACAAATGAATAAATACTAAATTTGTTGTTTTACAGCTGGTTATGCTGGCCCCATGGGCAGGTTCTTCACAATCATTTTTGCCATTTTGTGAGTGCACTCAAAAGTTGTTTCAAACATTCCAACCGTGCGATGAAGGCAGAGAGTTTGGGTCTTAGGGTTGAGGAAGAAGGCACCATAACACAAGTGGAAATCAACTCACCTGGGTTCACATGTAAATGGAAGCAGAGACTGAGAACAATGTGGGGCAAGACTTCAAAATCAGCTTGTTTGGAAGTTGTTCAGAAGGGGTGGGACTAAAGTGGATCCATCACTCCAAGACCCTCCCAGTGGAAATTGAGGGCAGGACGAGGAACAAGGCTGCAAAGGTATTCTCTCCTTACTTACTCATCCAGATGATCCCAGACACCAGAAGAATGAAAGCAGCCACAGTGGCCAAGATGACTCCTACATGGAATGTCCTGTTGGCTAAAAGTAGAACAAAGTCTTCAGGGCAATTATTGCTACCAAGATCTTAAGCTCAAGGACAGAGAGTGGACATCCATTTTGGCACCAGGGACAACCAAGGGATGCTCATTACCATGAATTCCTCCCTAGCAGTTTCACTTCTGCCAAAGGAGGACCCATTGCTCCTAGGATGGCAACTGTGGAAACCACAACCATGCCTGGCCTTGAACCTTGGTGTGCCTTTCCCACTCTGCCATCCCCCAGTGCATTTAAACAAGGGTTAAGATGATGGGATCACCCACTCTTCTTCATTCCCATGACACAAAAGCATTAATTATCTACAGGGTTACCAATTCTATACCTAAGATGCTATGTGATTGTTTAGTTTGTGGTTCAATACATCATCAGACACACAAAGGTTGAGGTTGAGGATGGAGCAAACTAACAACTGGTGAATGTCTATGGAGATTCTCGGTCATCCAGGTCATGGTTGTCCCAAAGGTGCTTTTTCAGGAGCTGTCTTCAGGGAATATAAATCCTTCCAGTCAGACCTGAAGAAGCTTCTTGGATGAGAAGCAAAACGTCTTCAAAGAAAAACAAGAAAGTCCAGTTGCCTCCTGTTAAAACACCTTTGGGATAACACCTGGTGAGCTAATTATTCTGTCTTTGCACCAATGGTTTCCTTTCTATTGCCCAATCCATCAGTCTCACATCAGGTTCCTTCATCCAAACCAAGACCAGGGACTTCACAAGCCTAGAATGTTCAATGTGAGATAGGGATGCTTCCTACACTGCATCTCAAGAGCTGGGATAGTCCATCAAATAATATATTTTTAAAATTCTTTCCACCATGGTTGAAAATTCTTCCTTACCTACCCTGGTCTTGCAGTTTCTCATCAGGCTCCTCCTTCCAGGCCAAGACCAGGGGGTCCTGCAAGCCCTCATGCTCCAGGTGACACCAGAAACGGTCCCTCTCCTTGGGGTCGATCTCAATGCTGAGCCAGACATAATAGGTCCCATCTGAGTTGGGGGCCACATTCCTATGGAGGGTCTCATACTGGCAGACCTCTCCATCCCTCATCCAAGTGGCCCAGATCTCCTTGGGGTAGAAGCCATAAGCCTGGCAGATCAGAGTCTCTATGGTGTCACTAACTACCTTTTGGGTCACCTGACCCACTGGGGGCTCTGCAAAGACAGCAACAGCACACCTCATAGGATTTCTCCAAACACCAAGACAATACAACATCTGGAAGAACCTCACAAAATTGCATCACGGCCACCCTTCTTTCTTGAATCTTATATAAGAATAACAGAATGACAGATTTAGAAGGGACCCTGGAGGTTTGATAGCTCAACCCCCTGTTCAAGCAGGAGACCTTATACCACTTCAGACAAATGGTTGTCCAATCTCTTCCCAAAATCCTCCAGAGTTGGAGGATCTGTAAGCTCCTCAAGAAGTGGACCTTGATGTTGCCTAAATGACAATCCTACTAGGTAGACTAGGGCAGGAAATCAACCATACAAAAAGGCTAAAACCACTTTTCCTGAAATTGGCTATAATAACGGAATCTGATGCACTATGCACCCTTTTCCGTTTCTTCAGAGTATAATCTGTCTGCTCTAGAGGTATGTTTCACTTTTTTATTGTCCACGGATCCTGCATATGTCCATCAATGTTATCTTCCTTACCCTCTACACCAGGGGTGTCAAACTCAATTTCATTGAGGGCCGCATCAGCATTGCGGTTGCCCTCAGGGGGCCAGGTGAGTGTGGCCAGGGTGGGTGTGGCCTACTGGGTGGGCATGGATGGAGTGGGTGTGGCCTACTGGGTGGGTGTTGCCAGCTCTACATTGTTCGCGTCAAGGTTGCCTGTGGGGACCTGGGCAGGAGTGGGATAGATCTGAGGGTCTCTGGCAAAAGGGGGTGGGACCAGGGCAAGTGCCAAGGCATGGTCCACTGGAGGAGCCTCACTGTTCCTCAGGCCATGCGGGAGGGTGGAGGGCTTATGGAGCTAAGACTGAATGCATTTCAGCATAGATGGCCACCACAATATTGTACATTGGCTCCCGGCTGGCCTGGGCCAGGGCCAAGGCAGAGGGGGCTGTTCCCTCACTGTTTCCAGGATGGCTTCGCAGGCTACATGAAACCACTTTGCGGCCCGCATCCGGGCCCCGGGCCTTGTGTTTGACATGTCTCCTCTACACTATTAGTGCTGCATATCAGTGATTGCATGACCTTGGTAGATGCCACACGCTCAATAAAATAAATAAATGCCCTCTACACCAGGTTCCCTTTCATGTAAAAATGATTTTTTTCCCCTCAAGGGGAACTACAGATGTCCTCCCATCTCACCAGCAGCATTAAAAGGTCCAGCCAGGAAAATGATGTAGCTCTATTCCCCTACGCTTACCTATCCTCTGCAGAACTTCCTTACTATAGGACAGGTAACTCTGCAACTGCTCAATACAGGTCTCCAGGTAGATTTTGTTTCTCTGAGACCACCCTGGATCATCTTCCCACTTCTCCTTGACCTTCTCAGCCTGGGGCTGCGCTGTCACCCATCTGAGGGTCTCCTTGTCGAAGCTGATGAAGTCCATCCCGTCGTAGCCATAATGCAAAAAACTTCCTTTGCTCCCGTCTTCCTTGAGCTCGCAGCCCAAAATTGCCTGCCAGGTGTGAAGTCCTGAAAGAGAGTTTAGGAGGACCACATTTTCACCCCAAGCCCCACCCCCACCCTCCAAAAAACTTATTATAGAGCCTCAGGTGGATTCTTTCCCCTTCCATTTCTTCTAGAGAAGGAACCATGAACTCTTGTCCCTCCCCCATCTTCTACAACAGGGAGAAACATGAAGAGGGCCTACACCAAACCTTTTGGGTGAAGGAAAAATAATCTGGAGTTTTTCTTTCCTTCAGAGGAAAAAAATAAATCCCCACCATCTCCTTTCAACGCTGGAACCCCAAAAGGAAAAAAAAAAAATGCTGCATTTTGCAGTCTCTAGGTGGGCCATATGGTCCTTTCTCCCTTCCTTGTGAGATGGGGATATGTTTCCTCACCCACCCGCCCCATTCATTTCTCCCTTGGAATAATAAGAGTCAACTAGAGCAAGGCTTTTCAACCAGTGGTACGGGTACCACCTGTGGTACATTGGCACCTGGCAGGTGGTACGCAACCATCCTAGAAAATTGGTAGTGGGGGGAGGGAATGAGCTGAACTGGTGGCAGCACTGCAGAAGCCTGAGCGAGAGATGGCTGGAGCTGCAGGGCTCTCAGGGCTCAGCAGAAGCACTAGGATCAGTGCTTCTTCGGGACTGTCAGGGCTCAGTGGAAGCACCAGGATCAGCGCCAGGCTCCAGCTGGAGCTCAGCGCTGATCCTGGTGCTTCTGCTGAGCCCAGAAGAAGCACCGATCAGCTGGAATGTTGCAGCATCTCCAGGGTCTTGTGATTTACATTCAGATGCTTGGCAACGGATTCATTTTTATGATGGTCACAGTGTCCCAGGTCATGTGAAGTGACCAAAACCTGCTGCAACCACCCAGCAGGCAGAGGGAATAAAACCAAACACCCCCCCACCCCACCCCCGCTACCAATCCTCAACAGAAATGCTCACAACAATGAAAACCTCGGACAGGAGGAAGAGCTCCACCAGGTGGGCAGGCAGGTGTCTTGTTCGGCTGTGGCTTGGGAGGCACTTTTTTCAGTGCCATTGTAACTTTGAACAGTCACTAAGCAAACTGTTGTAAGTCGAGGACTACCTGTACTTCATCACTTTTTTCCTTCTTTGGGGGGAGGTCATCATGTTTTTGACACCTTGCTAGGCGACTGGTGGTACTCGGATATTGCCATATCCTAAAAGTGGTACAATGGGTGAAAAGGTTGAAAAGCCCTGAACTATAGGAAGGAAGGAAGGATGACAAAGAAACCTCCATTTTGCCATACGCTCTTCAGCTCGTGTCGGAAGACCTGCTCAGTAGCCAGCAACATCTCATTCCCTTCTTTCCCCTGCTTGGGATCCTCCTTCTCCATCTTCTCCATCCAGGACACCAACGGCTCCACCCTCCTGGTGTGACTGTCATAGCAAGCAATGGGTTGGTCATCCAGATAGACCTTTGAGAAGAATTGGGGCAGCCGCAGGTTGGGCTCCGACACCTGCAAGTAGGAGAACCATAGGGAATGTGAAAGGGAGACTGGGAAGGAAGAAGAGAGAAGGGATTTATTTATTTGTTTGTTTGTTTATATAAAACACTACAAGTTTGTGTTAGTTTCTCCAACTTCACCTGGACAGCTACTACACACCTCCCTGACACTCTACAACTGATTTGGGGCTCAGACAGGACCCTTCCTATTCTGGAACCATGAACTGAGATGCATTATAGTTCTGATCCAGATAGCATAAACTCCACAAAAATGGTTTTAAACAAATATTTATTGTCCAGGAATTCTAAGCAAAGACTTACTTTGCAGTAGATACATCCGGTCATATTCATATCTGTCCATTCTCGTAGGTAAAAATGAATAATTCCTTATCTCAGCTAGGCATGGTTACGGATGACAATCGATGTGTGCATGATGCTTGATTAAAACAAAGGCTTTTATAACCCTGGCACATAGCCAGGACATCCTGTAATAAACTTTGAAGCCCCTCCCACCGACTAGATAAGATATAGGACTGACTAACAACTAGACTACATTTCCCAGAGGCCATCTCTTAAGGAGACAGCGTTTAACCCTTTAAATCAGTGGTGGCGAACCTATGGCATGGGTGCCAGAGGCGGCACTCAGAGCCCTCTCTGTGGGCATGCACGCCATCGCCCCAGTCCTAGGCCTTCAGCTGGGTTTTATAAAACCTTTTCGCTTTAGGCCTCTGCCACCATGTGCAAAAAAAAAAAAAAAGGGTTCAATCAATCAGTCAATTTCAACTTCTCGTGGAAAAAAAAAAGATCTTGCAAAGTTGGAATTGATTGATTGAACTTTTTAGTCCCACCCAGTCTCCTGTTACCACTGCAGCCATGCCCACCCAATGGGCCACACCCAGCCAATTGGCCATACCCAGCCAATGGGCCACACCAACATGGCACCCGACGATGCATAAGTGGGTTTTGGGTTGCAGTTTGGGCACTCGGTCTCTAAAAGGTTCGCCATCACTGCTTTAAATGCTAAATGCTCTAACACAGCTCTTGATTCCTAAACTAGCTATATAATGGACCAGATGGCTAAATCTGGTCTAGCACACTTCCAGCCCAAAGAATTTTCTGGATTTATGGAGAATTTGAGAAATTAACCCACATCCACTGGACAGCCGCTCCTTGTGAGAAGATAGCAAAACAGAGGTTTGTGCAGTCAGCTTGTGAGTCAAGCTGATGAGATGCAAGGCCTATATCAAATTTTCAGCTCTGGAGTAGCCAGTACAGGTAATCCTTGACTTATAACCATTCATTTAGTGACCATTTAAAGTGATAACAGCGCTGAAAAAAAGGTGACTTATGACCGTTTTTTCACTCTTACAACTATTGCAGCATCCCCATGGACTAGTGTCTGTGGTATAAATAAAGCTATGTTCAGTTATTATCTGTATTATGTATTCTATAATTTGATGTGCCATAAAACAATTACTTGGGGAAACAAAGAAGAAACACGGAGAAGTGGATCTGGAGAATTGTCTGCAGAGAAAAGTTCCAGTAGATTCTAGGACAGGGAACTCATCAAATTTACAGATGACACCAAGCTGGTAGGAATAGCCAACACCCCAGAAGACAGGCTTAAGATACAGAAGGATCTGGGCAGACTTGAACACTGGGCACTATCTAACAAAATGAAATTCAATGGCGAAAAAAGTAAGGTTCTACATTTAGGCAAGAAAAACCAAATGCACAGGTATAGTATAGGGGGTATCTTGCTCAATAGTAGTAACTATGAGAGGGACCTCGGAGTCCTAGTGGACAATCACTTAAATATGAGCCAGCAGTGTGCTGCAGCTGCCAAAAAAGCCAACACAGTGCTGGGCTGCATTAACAGAGGGATAGAATCAAGATCACACGAAGTATTAATACCACTTTACAATGCCTTGGTAAGGCCACACTTGGAATACTGCATCCAGTTTTGGTCACCACGATGTAAAAAAGACTCTAGAAAGAGTACAGAGAAGAGCAAGAAAGATGATCAGGGGTCTGGAGGCTAAAGCATATGAAGAATGGTTGCTGGAATTGGATATGTCTAGTTTAATGAAGAGAAGGACGAGGGGGGACATGATAGCAGTGTTACAATATCTCAGGGACTGCCCCAAAGAAGAGGGAGTCAAGCTATACTCCAAAGCGCCTGAAGGCAGGACAAGAAGCAACAGATGGAAACTAATCAAGGAGAGAAGCAACCTAGAACTAAGGAGAAACTTCCTGACGGTTAGAACAATTAACCAGTGGAACAACCTGCCTCCAGAAGCGGTGAATGCTCCAACACTGGAAGTTTTTAAGAAGAGACTGGACAGCCATTTGTCCGAAATGGTATAGGGTTTCCTGCCTGAGCAGGGGGTTGGACTTGATGACCTCCAAGGTTTCTTCCAACTTTATTATTATTA